CTTTTTGAAAGGACCATGCATGGTGACAAACATTTGTAATCCCAGCACTTGAGAGGCAGAGAAGATGGACCCTGGGACTCACTAGTCAGACAATCTAGCCATCTAGACCATTTGGAGAGTTCTCAAAAAGAGTGGGAGACTCTCAAAAAGCAAGATGAATGGTTCCTAAAGGATAACTGAGGTTATCCTCTGACCTCTACACGCGTGTGCACACACTTATATATGCACCCATATATACACACATAAAAATAAAAAAATTTAAAAAGAAAACGAAAAGCTGCTCCCCCCAAAGCCACCATCTTCTCCAAGCAAAAACTCTGAGCAAACACATGAACTCATGTCTAGTAATAAATGGATTAATACATTATCTGGGGGTCTGTCCATGCTTGGCCAACTCCAGAGCCTCAGCGTTTGCTGTGCAGAAAGAAGCTTTGTACTTCATACTTGGAAGCTGTGCCCAGGACAAAGGCTAACCCCAGGGAGGGAGGTATATCAGACCTAACTACAAGCAACAAAAGATTCTGACATGTAGATCATGTTTCCAGACAAGAGTGTGAAGAGGTGACCCTGGCGGTATAGCAGGAACCAGCTTTTCTGGTTACCAACCTTAACCTTTTTCCTCAGGTTCCAGGATGGCTGCACTGGTACTTGCCATCACCTCCTAATCCCATGACCCTACTGGAAAAGAGAAGAAAGGAATGTCCTCTGCTTCAGGCCAACTGTCCCAAAGTTTATTCTCTAGTATTTCTCAATAATGGAGGAACTTGAACACATGGCCACAGCCAGCTTCCAGGGAGGCTGAGAAATGTCAAGGGTTTTTTTAGGGCCCTATACCAATCTCCATCAACTGCAGACACAGCTAGCAGTCTCCTCCACACCGCTGTGCCTCAAAGTGTTTCTCTCTGTCTGCTTCAAACAGCCACACCATCTCTGGTCTCTGGTCTCTCCAAACTGCTACAGGCCAACAACCAACACCAAACACCACACCTTCTCTTTCTCTCACACTGAGTCCTAGACCACGCCCCTCTCCATGCTGCACGTTACCAGCTGGAGACAATTAACAGCTGTGGACAAACTATAACCCAACTAAAATCCCACACTTGGGATTAAAACAAAAGCATATTCACATAACATACAAAGAAACTGAAACTTCCATTACACCCATCTGGCCTGTGGTCAGGACCATTCCATGGGCCAGGGATCTTGGACTGTATAAAAACGGAGAAGGTGAGCTGAACACTAGGATGCATCCGCCCCTCCTTGTTTCCCTACTTGGGGGTGCAGTGTGGCCATTGGTCAGACTCTTGCTGCCTTGACTCCCCTGCTGTCATGGACTGCACCTTGAACATGTGAGGGGAAGAAAACTCAGTCCTCAGTTTGTTTCCGGGCGATTTAGTCTGTGTTTTGTTTTGCTCTCCTCGGTGCTCAGGATGGAACTGAAAGCCTGGCGTATTTCAAGCTAGTGCTGTCCAGCTGAACCCACCCCTAGCGCTCTAATACAAGTCTATAAACACTCTCCACCTGCCTGTATTCTTTGCTCTGAGTCCTAGGCTATGGGCGTGCTATTCTGCTTTAGTTCACATCTTCATCAGGGGACAAGTGAGGCTTTTAAGGCCAGGCCTCAGGCTCACACAGAAAGAAAATCCCTTTGGAGACAGGGAACCAGATTCTCAGCTCCAAGCTTTTTGACATGAAGTTTGTCCTCTTATTTCCTTAGAACATACTATGAGAGCATCTATCCCCCAATTAAATGAGACAATAAAAACTGAAGTGTATTGTATAAAGGACTCTTGTTAGAAAAGGTTTAGAAAAACAGATGATTTACAAGGTCATTGTGTGGGGATGAATATAGTCAACACACATTGTCTACATGTATGAACATGTCAAAGAATAAAAGACAGTCTAATTTTAAAAACTGTCAGTGAGGGCCTAGATGGAGCTTGGTGACAGAAGCCTAGCATGATGAAGGCCCTCAGTTCAATCAGTGTGACCTTTCAGTTGCTTTGATCCTGACCACCTGTGATTGTCAGAGTAGACGAGGAGCCTGTTTTAGTGTACTTATACTTTTTTCTATTTTTGTATTTGTTGTTCAGAGGTCACTGTAGGCCTTGGCTAGGTTCGGTGAGAGACAGGGCCTCTGCTCACCACACTCGCTGAGGCTTAATGAGCATTCGGTTGACATCAGAGGTTTCCATAAGGGACTCTGAGGCAAAGAAGGCAGGCCTCAGGTAGATAAGTGTGCAGCCCAGGTGTTAGAGATTGCCTAAGCTGGTGGGAAGAGAGAGAGCGGAAGATTTGAGGTTGGGGGCCAAATGCAAACACACTTCTAAACCAGTGAAAGACCCCAGTGAAGGAAGCAACTGAGAACCTGGGACTCCTGACACCTCACCTCTCCACTCAGCCCACAGCAGCCAGGGCCATAGCCCCCCAACTGCTGTTCCCATCCCACACACTGCCCTAAAGAACATCCGCTCAAAACGGCCAGACCGGGAGACCAAGTGAATGCAATTAAGGCTTCACCTAGACACATCCTTCATCTCAGCTGTGAGGCTGGGGCAAAGGATTCCCTGAACACAAGTGACTAACATGGGAGGAGTCTGAAGACGGCACCCTACCACCCCCGCAAGGCTTCTGACACTGTCCGAGGCATGCGCAGTGAGGGCCAGTACTTGCTGTGAACCTAGTACATGTCTTCTGTTTACTAGTTGCACTTGGTGGAGAAAAACTAGATTTTGCTGAGGCACACACTGAAAATTCTAGAGACAGATATCTTTTCGGAGCTAAAGTTCTCCCCAGAGCTACCTGACAGCACCATGTTTGCCACCAAGACACTCCTAACTAGGAATTGGAGAACTTGTTAAATAGCGCTTCCAGGAGCCCAGACATTCCCCTCTCCTCCTGCCTCCTGCAAAACTCCCTCTCTCTCTCTTTCTCTCTCTCTCTCACACACAGAGGAGAAAGGACCTCCCCACACCCCCAGAGCTGCCTTTAGCCAAGATTCCTGGAGTGTCTGAGATTGTTGTCCACTTAGGAGAGATCCAAAATGGAACAAAGAGCCCCAAGAGCTGTTCCAGAGAAAGGGGGCAAAGGTCCTGCATGGCCAGTGACATCAGGGCTTACAGGACTAACCAGACCAGGGCTAGAGCCAGGGCAGAAACAGACCAAAGCAGACAGAAACAGCCGGCAAGTGTGGTCTCAGAGAGGGCCTCGGGATCCACCTCCTTGAATAACAACAGGTCAGTAGGCTTACTCAGCATGGAGGCCCTCTAACAAAGCCAGAGAGAAGCCACAGTCCATGAAGCAATGTCCCAGAATGCTTCCTGGCCTCTTGTGCTTGAATGTACCCATATCAGCAGAGCTAAGTATCTGGCCTTCTCAGTCCCTGTTAAGAGAGGAAGCCACATTCATGGGCATGAAGCCCATCTATTGCTCATTCAGAGTGCATCATGAAATGGGGAGCAGCGTAGGCATCGGTTCCCAGAAACCTCCTCTTAGCATTCAAGTCTCTCACCAGGAAGCTCAGTAGAAGTAGCTTGAGTGACCAGAGAAGCAGAAGACCCTAGGAGCCCTCAGAGAGTTTCTCCTCCCATCTAGCCCTCCAATAGTAGAGATACTTACTGATGAAATGGCTCCAGTGGCTCCAAGGAGGTGAGATTCAGAGGGTGCAGGTCAGCCCTAGACCTCTGGCCACATCCAAAGCCAAACCTGGCTACATCTGGCAGGTGTAGATCTGGGTGTGATGGATTTAATTTGGCATTGTCCAAGACAGAAAGCTACTGTCTCCTCCTAGAGAGCCTCTGACCCATGAGGAATCTACCAAGAGATGGCCCTGTGAGATTTTAGGCATGAGAAAAGGTTCCCTAGTACCTGTCATCATGGGCTGAGCAGGGATGGAGTCCTAGCTATGCCTCCCTTCAGTGCTCATGGAGCTTCCTTATTGTGTCCCTAGAGCCTGTCCATGGTACCAGGGCTTCTAAACCAGTTTCCAGACTCCTTGAGGCTAGTCTCAGAGAAGCTGGTGGTGCCTGTGTGTCTGCAGCCCAGTCAGGCCCCAGATGTGGTGGCGCTGGCCCAGAATGCAGCCAGGGTGACTCTGGCCTGCAGTGAAGCAGTCACCCCAGGCTTTTCCCCCTCAGTGGTTAGCAGTGCTTCCCAGGCAGCTCCTCCATGGAGCGGAGCGGCTTCTCCTAAAGATGACAGTGAAATCCCATTCTCATTGTTCTCTTGTCTTGCCACCCACTGTTCCCATAGAGCAGCGCTTCTCAACCTGTATGTCTCAACCCCTCTGGGGGTTGGATGACCCTTTACAGGGTCACGTATCAGATGTCCTGCACATCAGACATTTACATCACGATTCATAGCAGTAGCAAAATGACAGTTATGAAGTAGCAACGAAAATAATTTTATGGTTGGCGGTCACTGCAACATGAGGAACTGTATCAAGTAGTTCCAGCACTAGGAAGGTTGAGAACCACTGACATAGAGCCATCTTCATTTCCTCCACAATCACACTCCCTTTGGGTTCAACCTCAGCTTCCCAGACCCATGCCTGGGAAGCTCTCTGCACTTGTTCAGGGGTCAAGCAGGACCTTTGACAGATGACCCACTGGAGCTTAGAATGCTGAATGAAGCATGAGGCTCCTCGGCGATCCCAGTCTCTGCTGAGAGCATTGGGGTACCCTATGCAGACTGTATGAATTCTCCTTCTACAGAGGCCTCACGCTTCCAGAAAGCTACATCCCTCAGTTCTGAGCATGTTCCTGTTTTCTTTCTCTCTCCTATCTTTCTTAAAACTCTCACTCATTGGCATTTTCACAGCTTAGAATAGCTCCTTAATATTCAAAGGTCAGCTGATGGGCCTGGCATGACTGGCCAGGACTGGCCATCACAACTGAGGACCTTGCTTTCTTTTCCTGCTGCTATGATGAATACTAACAAAAGCAACCTCAGGGAGAACAGGTTCAAGATACAGCCCTTTCTGGCGGGGAAGTCAAGGCAGCAGGAGCTTGAAGCAGCTGCCCATATCACATCCACCATTAAGAAACACAGAAGGGTGAGTACAAGCGAGTGCTCAGTTCTCCTTCTCCATTTTATTTATTTATATGTTTGTTTGTTTTAGCTTTTTCAACACAGGATTTCTCTGTGTAGCCTGGGCAGTCCTGGATCTTACTATGTAGACCAAGCTGGCCTCAATATTTTTTTCAATTGACTGTTTCTTATTATTTCTATTTATTGTATTCGTTAGTATGGGTCATGCCATTCATATGCCAAAGCACCTGGGAACTCCACAGCCTTTGTGAGTCTACCATCTCCGCCTGTTGAGAAACTAGCCACCCTTTCAGCTGGACTGAGGGGTGTTCAGAGGCCTGCTTTCTGACCTGAGCCCTTCCCAGGGGTCACCCCACCCATAGCTGTGGCTGTGGGGCTTTGGTCGCTGCCTTGGAATCTAGGACAGAGAGGGCTGAGGCTGGGGCTCAGTGGTAAACTACAGGTGGGCTCACCAACACCAAACAGACCCTCTGGGCAGTAGAGGGTCTACTGAGATGAACTAACCAAGTAGTGAGTTTGAGTTTACCTGAGCCCAAACCCCTACCTCCAAAATCTCACCCAGAACCCTCCTGGATGTCCTGTTGGTGTGGGTGAGGGTCCTGCAGCCACTTCAGCCAACAGCCACACTGGCGACTCAGAGGCTCTGGATAATGTGACCTGTATTGGTTTGTTTTAGGACTCTGCTCCAAAGATGACCTACTATGGAAAATGCATTGAGACAGTAATAGAGCACCTTGACAAATTTAAGCGAGGGAAGGACAGTCCTGAGCAGTTCCTGGAGACGGTATCCACCTCCTTACAGCAGGTAGGGTCAGGGTAGCCACTGGGGTTCCTGGGAGACCACATCAGTGACATGCATGTGTCACCTGGCATTTCACTCTCCAGCGAACAGCGTGGGATCCATTCCTTCCTTTGGGGAGAAGTGTGAGGCAAGGCTCTCTTAGGAGCCAGTGGTCTTTCCATAGCCCACCCCTACCCCCTTTGCCATGAGAAGGCTCCCAGCACCCAGAATACACATGAGACCTGGATCTATCCAGAGCTACAAAACTTCCATGGTGCGTTATGACAGACAGCAACTCATGGGAAGAGCTGTGACTGTGTGGACAGCACCATGAGGGAAGCAGGGACTTGGGGCCTCTGCCTGGTGGTTGTCACCCTCCTTTAGGCCGCACCTCAGTCTGTGAGCACTGCTATAACAGGCCTGAGGCTAGGAAAATTGTACAGAACTTAACTCTCAAGGTTCTGGAAGCTGAGACATCCAAGACGGAAGCAGCAGTGTGTCCTGCTGCAGAAGGTGAAAGGCAGACAGGCAGAGCATGTCTCGGGAATGTTCCACTCATCACAATGGCAGCTACACTTTCAACTGAATTTTGGAAGGTTAAATTTTGGTGCTTTGGAGAAAGCACATCCCTCCCCCAGGGGACTTGCCACGCTCTCTAGGGGCAGCTCCAGGTTCTGCCCAGGTTGTCATCCTGCATCATTCTGATTGGCTCTCCGGACACTCCCCACTCTGTGTCTCCTTCTCCCAGAGGCTCAGGCCCCTCCTTGTCAGGGTGTGAAGGATAAATCCCTGCTAATAAATCCCATTTCTCCACCCTGCCCAGACCTCTCTCCCCAACCCTCAACTCTTGCATCCAATGGTAAGTAGCATATGTGTCCGGTCTAGGGCATATACATTCTCTCAGTCCCCATGAGCCCCCACAAACAGCTCATCTCAGCAGCTCAAGCCCAGTCACCAAGAGCTGTGTCTCTTCCTCGCCCCGCTGGAGGCATGCACCTATCCTCACCCCCCACCTTAGCCCTGATATAGCCCTTGTCCTATTGACAGTGAAAGCTCCTTGTCATCGCTCTATTCAGAGCACACTGCCCTCCTCTACTCTGCCCTCCCCACAGACATGACACAGAAGGTGTCCTCCCTGCAGAGCCCCTCTGCTCCACTGTGCCCTCCCGATTCTCCTACCCATCCTCATGTCCACCCCCACTGGCCACACTACCCTCCCTGGTACTTTCTGAGCAGTCCATTTGTTCCTCCACTATTCTTGCCACTCCCTCCACACACTTGGAATAGCCAGCTTGCTACCTGGGCTGCTAAGTCCTTCCAGGCTTTGATAAAAGAAAGAGCTGGTACCCTTTCTTTCAAATGAGGCAGAGAGAAGTTAGTGTCATTACCGTTTGATGACCATCACAGAAACCCTAGTTTTAGCAGTTCCTAACTAGTTTGGGGCACTTTTTTTCTGTTAAGAGCCAATAGATTAACAGCAAATGAGTCCTGGTTGTTGTTTGGCACATCACAAAATCGTGACCATCTGTGTGCTTTTCCATGAGAAGCCTAACACTCTGATGCCATCCAGTGAGCTGGCGGCAGAGGATGGAGCCGCTCTCTTCCTCAGTCACAGAAGCAGCTACTGCCTCAGATGTTGGTCCTTTCAGGTTCTGCCAAAGTCCTTCTGAAGCCAAGGTGGATTGGGGCCCTGGGTACTGACCCAGTTTGAACAACACACTTTCATCTCCAGCTGTCAGAAACCTGCTGTAATATACTGACTGTCAGGTCAAGGCTGGAGATGCCCTTGCCAGAAAGTTCCAGACACCTAGACCACTAGGCAAAGGCTGACAGAAGGCTTCAGGGCAGGGCATGTGGTGGGCAGACTGCATACCATGGCAGCCCTGGGCACTTTTTTTTTTTAAGTTTTTTTATCTATTATTTATGCAGTATTCTGTCTGCATGTGTGCCTGCAGGCCAGAAGAGGGCACCAGTTCTCATTATAGATGGATATGAGTCACCCTGTGGTTGCTGGGAATTGAACTCAGGACCTTCCTTGGGAAGAACAGCCAGTGCTCTTAACCTCTGAGCCATCTCTTCAGCCCCCCTGGGTACTTCTTAATGTGGATATGACTTTGTTTGGATGTACGCTTTGAGTAAATGAGACAAGGTTACAACTGGGAGCACAGACCATGGGTCCAGCTGCAGTAGCCCAGGTCCACCTGAGCCCACTTGGCCGGGCCTTGGGGAGGGGACAGGAGTAAAGAGACCCCAGCCACTTACTGTGAAGTCCCCTAGCCTGGGTACCAGCTCTGGAGGTGCATCCCACGGCTTCTGTCTCCACTCCTAATCAGTTACCAACCATTTGAAGCAAGCGTCAGTCACTGACACATTGATCTGGGGCTGAGTTTCATAGGTGGAGATAGAGGTGGGGGTCAGTATCTGGATACCACCTTGACTTTCCTGGTACTCGGGAGCCCCTCACGTGGCAAGACTAGTGAACAAGCTATGCTTAGGTGCCCAGTGAAGCCACCTGGGACCAGCGACATAGTCAGGCAAGGCAGCCAGGCAATGAGCAAGAGTCTGACTTTAAGGAGCAGCAGATCCCCAGAAGCAGGATACAGCTTCCTGGGCAGAGGGACCTACCAAGATGAGACCCCAGAAGCCCAAGGTCCTGACCTGTAACTGAGTGTGAGTAGACAGGAAGCCCAACAGGGCCTGTGCCTAACCTTCAGACCAGGCTGCTCAGCCTGTGTGGGTGGCCCTTGGGGAGGTTGGTTATGAGCAGGAAAAGGTCAGGGCAGAGTCCAGGCTGTGGACAAGGGTTATGAGCACAAAAAAAAAAAAAAAATTCCTGCAGAGCAGGACCAACAAGAAAAGCATAGGCAGCCAGATAGCTCTGGGGTGGCAGCCATAAGAGAGGGGCGGGGGAGACGCTAAAGGGGGCGGCCAGCTGTGGGGAAATCGTTACTAATCTTGAGGTCATTAGAAAAGTGTCAGTGAACTGTGGGTGCAAAGGAGCAGCGAGGAGAGGCAGATGCACTGTGTGGGCTCCAGAGTTATAGCCCACGGTTTACTGTGGGTTGCGCTCTTTAGTCATCCCTTGTAAATCTTAGCATAGCATCATTTTAATGGCTGCATCCCACTGGCCTGTGGGGTGGAGCATGATGCCCCACTCACTGTTGGACCCTTGTTTCTGTTTTCACTGCTGCCAGACCTCTTCCCCTGATGTGTGCACATGGACATTTTCTGTGTTGTAGGTTTCCTTAAGTTCCCAGAAGTATACTTGCTCTGTTAAAGGGTCATGAAAATAAAGCTCTCCAAACCTATTTTCCAAACTACTTTCTGGAAAGGCTCAGCAGCAAGTGTCCCACTAAATTTCTTAGTGCTCTACTGGCACCAGCAGATACCTTCATTTTCCTTCTCCTTCAAAACTTAAGTTACTTTTCAAACCTTAATTACTTTTTAAAATAATTAACACGCATCACACAAAGGTCATATTATTATTTGGGTCTGAATTGTCTGTCCCCTAAAGGCTCCTGTGTCGAAGGTCTTACTCCCAGCACAATGGTGGGGCAATTGGGTAATGATCAGATCCTGGGAGCTCCAACTTTGTCAATGGACTGATCTATTGATGAAATTATAATGTGATAGCATTATTCAGACCTGGTGGGAACTGGTGGGAACTTGAAGGAGGAGGAAACTAACAGGCTGTCTTGAAAAGATATATCCTGTGCCCACCCCCGGCTCCCTCTGTTCCCTGCCATCATGAAAGGATGAACAGCTTCCCTCTGATCTGCCTTGTGTCTACTTCACCATGGGCCAGAAAGCAATGGGAGCCAGCCACCGTGGACCAGAACCTCTGAAACCAGGAGCCAAATTAATCTTTTACACCTGTAAACTGTTTTTGTAAATTATTTTTGTCAGGTTTTTTTTGTTTGTTTATATTTTGGTTATTCAAAACAGGCATTCTCTGTGTAGCCCTGGTTGTCCTGGAACTCGCTCTGTAGACCAGGTTGGCCTCGAACTCACAGAGATCTGCCTTCCTCTGCCTCCTGAGTACGGGGATTAAAAGCATTTGCCACCATGCCCAGCCCTGTTTTTGTCAGATTTTTAACACAGAGATAGAAAGTCTTGACACTGGTCACAAAACCAAAATTATTCAAAAAAGTAAATGAGAAAGGTCAACCCATTATTACCCTGCCTGACCAGCTCCCTCCAAAAGGGACAGACTTGAGAAATTCAGAATCAATCTACCTCTCTCTTCTCTCTCTTCTGTCTCTCTTTCTTTCTTCCTCCTTTCCTTCTCCTCTCCCTCCTATTTCCTCCCCTCTCTCTCTCCTTCTCCCCTTCCTTCCTCTTCCCCTCCCTCTGGACAGGGTCTCCCTATGTAACCCTGCCTGTCTGAAACTCAAGTAGACCAGGTGACCTTGAACTCAGCCTGCTCTCCCCCAGTTGCTGGGATTAAAGGTATGTACCGCTATACCTGGCTAAAGGAACAGAATTCTTAATTCCCATCCTGCTCTTTATTCTGGACAAGCTTCCACAGATTTCTCTCAGTTGTGCAGTAACCTTTTAGATAATGTTTTATTTCTTCATTTGAATGACTTTATATGACTTTATTTTTGTTATTGTGGTGAAATGCACACGACATAAATTTTGACCATTTTAACTATTTTCAAGTGACACAAAGCACACTCACAGGACTGTGCAGCCATCACTTCCATCCATCTCCATAACATCTAATGTTCCTGACCTGAAACTCTGTCCCTATGAAATACCAGCTGCCTGGCTCCCTGTCTACTCCCCTGCCACTTACTTGCCATTCTTTTTCTGTCTCTGTGGATTTGCCCAATCTCATCTAGAAGAATATTTGCATAATGCTTTTCCTTCTGTGTTGTTAATTGTCTCATTGATTTCCATGTTTATTTTGTCTTTGAACCACCCTGTCCTCATTCACCGTGGAGGTCCTGCCTTCCCAATCACTGTGGTCATCGCCCACTGCACTAGGAGAGCTGAACTCACTGGCTTCTTTTCAGCCCTGTAGGAATATCTGTCCCCTCCCTTTGTCCTTGAACTCCTGGTCTTGGCGCACTCACTCTTAACTTTCTTTTCCAGACTCTGAGCCCCCAGAAGCTTGCCTTTGTTTTGGATATTCTGTCTGGCTGCCTTGAGTACCAGAAGTTACTGGCCATCGTGGTGGATGCCTTCTATGTTCGGGATGGCCGGCTCTGCCTGTGGGCCGACTACAGCCTCTTTGAGGGTGCGTCTATCCACTACCCACACGATGGTGAGGCCCAGGCCTGCTGCCCACTCCAGGCAGGAACCAGAGAAGAAGCTAGCGACAGACCCTTGCCAGGTTAACTCGAAAGAGACCAACAAGCTGGCAAGCTTCAAGACACAGCTCCTCATGCTTCACCCTTAGCTCTTCCTCTCATTTGATTCTCAGGCTCCCATAAATGTGTGGCCCAGGCTAGGTAAATTTTCTCACTTCACAGATGGCAAAACTGAGACCTAGGTCTTGAGAGCAGACATGGGCCCTGCTGCACCAGGCAGCCTCTGGACCCCTGAAAGAGAATGCCTGTGAGGGCAACTTAGGCCAAATGGCATACTTCTTCTAGTCTGTTAATGGCCCTAACCCTGTCACCTGTGGCAAGAATAGGTCTATCCAGGGAGAGCCACCTCGGACTGCTGTCCACATTCACAGAGCACGGTGTCTGTGGTCAGTGGCTGGTGACCATAGAGCAGAGAGGGATCAAGCCCTAGGCCCTGCTTTCGTCCTTGCTGCTGGCCTAGGAGGTAGAGAGGTAAGGGCTACAGCACAGTGGTAGGCTGAGACAGGTGGCTAGTGCCAGATGCGAGGCTGGCCTGACCCTTACTGCAGAGGCGCAGAGGCATATCCAGTAGCCTCACCAGAGGAGTCGCCATGCCCTAAGGCTCAAAGTGACTCAGCTTAGAAAATAGATGACACTGAAGATGACATCACTTTTGCCCAGAGAAATCCTGGGATTTCTGAGAATTGACCAAATGCAGAGCAATGTGTGTAGAAGCTAAAAGCCCCAAGTGGCCCAGTGTCTGTGATCACTGAACATGAAGTGGTAGTTGCTATATGGGCCTGTCCTTATGTGCCCTGACAGAATAAGGTGCTACAAGACTCTCCGCAGCTGCAGAATTCTCCCAAGGTCACACAGAGCCCCTCTGCAGAGCACTCTTCACACCACTCTCTCTCCCCAGTGATCTGCTACCTGGCCATGTTCCAGCTGGACGAGCTGGGCTTCCAGCTCTTCTGCAGCATCATCAAGTCCCAGCCTGTGGCTAAGACTTGCAAGGTGAGCCCCACTGCCCCACCACAGGGCTGTGGTTGAGGCTGCCAGCCATGAGGGACAAGAACCAGGGCCAGATGTGCATCTGATCAGCCCCACCTTCCCTCCTCTAGCTAGAGAAACTGACAGGTTCGCCTTCTCTCTGCTTAGTATCGGCTGACACCCCCTGGATAGGACAGTGTCCTCTGTCTTGGGGAAATCTGTTTGGTTGGTTTGTGAAGGACAGGCTTGCCTACCTACACAAACATAAGTACCCCATGCTGGGTAAGCAAATAGAGTTATCTTAAGGAAGGGCCTCATTTTTATGACAAAGAAGTAAAATCAATGGCATCTTCTGAAAGATGCTTTGGGACTGCCTTGGCCCATTCCATCCTCAGCATGACCTGTACTTGGCTCAGGCTCTGCTGCCTTGTGCTGGAATCCATAATGACTATTGAGCAAACATCCACCTTGCCTCTTACCCCGGTACGGCAGTGCTGACTCACCAGATGTTTGGGATGCAGACCACACACTGTCCCCAGGATATGCACCTTGACCCCAGGCCAGTCACTGACCAGCCTAGGAAGTGCTGGAGACTCATGGCAATAGCCCACAGGACCCACATGGGAGCCAGGCCTTGTGGCCTGTAATCCCAGCTGCTTGGGAGGCTGAGTCTCTGTGTCAAAGAAAGAAAGAAAGGAAAGAAAAAGGGGGCTGGAGAGATGGATCAGTGGTTAAGAGCACTGACTGTTCTTCCAGAGGACCCAGGTTCTATTGCCAGCACCCACATGACAGCTCACAATTGTCTGTAACTCCAGGATCCAACACACACACACAGAGACATATAGGCAAAACACCAATAAAAATAAATTTGTAAGCCAGCTACAGAATCTGAGGAGCCACCAGCAGAAGTTCATACACTAATAATCTGGGAATGGCTTTGAGCTGGGGCCACCACAAGCCTCACACTGTGCAGGCCCTGACTAGGGATGCAGCAACAATCCTAGGGCTGAGATCAGATAGCCACCGTGAAGGGTTGAGTGACAACCCATCTTCCCAGGTCTGAGGGCTTTCCCAGCTCCCCCCACCCCCCGCAATAGGGTTACTGGGCAAAGAAAATGGCATTATTCCATTCCCAGAGTTATAGATCCCAGTGAAATGGGGCAGGGCGGGTGGCAGGCAGCCCTCCATGTGTCCCTGCAACATTGTGCCCGGGAGTGGAGCAAGGGCCTTCCAGGCCTGGAAGCTGGATGAATGCCCACCTGCAGCGGGCACGATAACAATGTCACAGTCTGTTCTGGCCCCCGTGAGAGGCACTGGAGCAGCAGTGGGTTTGAGCCACAGCAGAGCTGCTTAGGGCTTTCCCGCCTCAGTTCCTCAGGTTCTTCTTTAACCCTTTGAACCTGTGCTCGTGGATCAAGGACGAGTGGAGCCTCATCTATGAAACAAGCCACGTGAAGGAGAACTGGATTGACCCTCTGATGAGGTGGGCAAGCTGTGGGGTCAGCTGTCACAGGGCTCTGAAAATCATTTTGTGCCCACTCCAGGTGTCTCAGAGGGTAGGTGGGGGCCTCCTCATTCCCTTTCTGCTCATGGAAGTTCTGTGAAAGGCTAGAGGTAGAGGTCAGAGATGCCGTGTATCTACCTACCACAGCCTGTGGCAGAGACAGCAAGATGCAGTGAGCTCTCCCAGATTCGTCCCCTCTGAGAGAAATAGGGGAACATCATGTCTTTCTGGAGGCAGGCAGATAGGCTGGACCCAAAGAGACTACTTATGTATTTGCTGCATGTGGGAGGTTTTGGGCCCATAGTGGGGGTCCTCACAGCTACTCCCTTACCAAGGAGAGCTCTCCTGTACCAGCTAATCCCCACTGTTAGCAACCAGAACAAACTCCGGGGGGGGGGGGGGGGCAGTTGTGTGCTTGTTCCACACTTAGCACAGTCTTCACGTCCATCTTCAGAACAGCCCTGTCACAAGTCTACAGCTGCTTCCTCATTCTTACCCTGAAGCTGGAAGCCAGTTTCTGCATGGCCTTATGAGAGCCTCTTGGTGCTAGCCCTTACGGCAGCCTCACTCACTCTGGGTAGTCCTGGTTCTGGGGATAAGGCAGAAACCATTGCAAGTTATGTATCCACGCTTGATGAGCCCCACAGGAGGAAACCCTGAACAGGCTGTTGATGATGAGCTGGGTCCACTCAGGCATGAAGAGTGAAAGGAGGATTCCTAGACCTCTGGACCACCTATCAAAAACCTTCTTAAACTTCTGCTCCACAGGACCCCAAGACTGAGCCCAAGGACAGTTGGCTGTTTAGGGGGATGTGGTGCTCACCACAACCAACACACACAGTCGCCTCCACCTGCCATCAACAGTGCTGCTCCAGAACATTCCTTTTCCATTGCCAGCTTCCTGTCCCTGCTTCCTGCTACCTCCTCCAGCACCATATGCACTGCCCATATCAGCTCCACACCCCAGTTCCTGCTTGTCTTCAGAGAGCCCCATATCCCTCCAGGGGATGTTTCAGCCTACCTGCTCCTCTAGCCCATTAGTTTCTTTGTCTGTGCAAAGGGAAACTTAATGCATGTACTGAAAGGTGTAGTTGAACTGCACCCACAGATAGTCAGTGAAGAGAGTCACCTGTCCATCATCACCTCACCCTGAAGGACATCCAGGCACTTGGGGTTCTTCAGATCCCAGGGGTTAGCTTCTTAGTTATCTGCTTAGGATGTGACACTAGGACCTTCTCTACTTTTGCCTTCAAGATGGCAGCCAGAGGTCCAAGAGCTGATCAACCAACTGGAGGGAGTGCCAACTGATCAATCTCTCTTGAAGACCAAGGCCAAGGCCACAGAGCACAAGGAATTCAAACTGACTGTCCCAAAGCCCCGTGCCATTCCAATGCCTGAGGCTGTCCCTACTATACCCAAGCCAAGACCTGTGAGTTGGGCATTTGTGCCTGCACTACCAGGGTTTGAGGATCACTGGGTGGCTGGACTTCTCCAGGGTCAAGGGTCAGACAGGAACATTCAGCAACCCACAAAGCACCTGCATCCCCACACACAGAGAGGGAAGTTGGCTGACCCAGAGCCCACCACATTTCGGACGAAATCAGGAGATGTTAAGGGATATTTACCTGGCTATGGGTTCAGGCCTGTTTGGATTGTGCTTGGAGTTCAGCATTAGTCATGCTACCCACCCTCCCCATTAGACAGTACTTGAGAGCCACAGCACTTTTTAGGCTTGATGAGGCATGTCTGTGTGAGCCCCAGAAATGCCTGGTGCCTACTCGGAGAAGCTCATGTTTGTCTCCTCTGCTGAGAGTCTGTCTATCTCCTATTTGTTTCTGATTTATCAGTCAGGAAGTTCTGAACTGAAAGTAACAGAAAACTGAAGCTCAAACTGGGTTAGACAATAGAACACTGGTATTAAAGTAGAAATACGCTTCAGATATAGTTTGATCAGGGTCACTAGTATTAAAGTAGAAATAGGCTTCAGGTGTAGTTTGATCAAGGTTCCAGCTCTATTTATCTGTAACTACCTCTACCTACTCTCCTCTGTAAGTGAATTTCATCTTTAGACTAACTTAATTTCATTTTAGTTTCAAAGGAATGAATCCAGGCCTTGTTTCTACACTGTACATTGTCTAGGACAGGAAAAACTACACAGGGACAGTTCTGACTGGTCCAGCTCAGGCCTCATGCCTGCTTGAGCTGCTTATCATCCTCCTGGGTGCTAAGTCCTGACTAGGCTGTGGATTCAGCCTCCTAGGTCAGTCCTCATAGGATAAAGGACTTATAGAGGAGTGTGAGGCAGTTGCTCTGGAGGCCCCACATCTCACCTTGGTTCCTCCATTTTCAAAGTCTCACTGAAAATCTCTCATTCCAGAAGTTTTCCATGAGGCCTCAGCTCTGCTGGGTCCCTGCTCAGTATTATTCTTGACTCATCTTTCTCCACAGTGTTGGTTACTGTTTACAAGTTGTGGATCTGCTCATTGTCTGGTTGTTTACCCATTTTATTTGTGCTATGTTTCTGACAAGGTGGTAGAGTTATGACTTAGAAAAGACATGTGGGATGGATAGATAGAAGAGCGGAGAGATGGATAAATGTCCATATGGGTAGAGGATAGATGATGAGTAATCAGATGGATGGATGGGTAGATAGGTCACTGGGGTTCTGTTGCTAAGCAACTCCACAGTTACCCCATCTACAGGGTCACTGATGCCTCACGAATCAATGCTGCCAGCCACTTTCCTTTCTGTTTGTTCTGCTTGGCTGAGGGACAGTTGTGCTTGTTCCCTCACTATGACATAGCTTCCCTAAGCTCACTTCTGTATTCACAAAGCCTGTATCCATGTTCTGACCATGGCCAGGACTTCCTTTCCCCTCCTAGGCTGAGACTCCCTTCAAAGTCCCTGAATGTCCAGTATGCACCAGGCACGAGGCCTTCACAGAACTTGTTTTCCACTGGGAACTCAGAGAAAAAAAAAATCTGCATGAATAAACTGCAGTAGTATGTTGGTGATATATCCTGGAAAGAAAACGCACTATGTAGGAAGAGAAAGTGTCTGTGTGGTCAAGGTTTCTGGTTAGCGAGCTGGACCCAGTGGCGCACGCCTGTAATCCCAGCACTGGGGAAGGCAGAGGCAGGTGGAGCTCTGTGAGTTTAAGGCCAGCCTGGTCTACAAAGCAAGTCTAGGAAAGCCAAGGCTACACAGAGAAACCCTGCCTCAAAAAAACAAAAAATAAAGAGAGTCTGGTTAGCGTAGCCAGGAAAGGCCTCCAAAGAAGAGCCATGGAGGAACGAGCTGCAAGAAGTGAGTGAAAACAAGTAAGGTAATGGGCACCTGGAGGGGCAGACAGTGAGCCAAGAATACGCACTAGTCCCAGACAGTATCCTTCCGCCCCCTGACCAAACGGAGGACAGCCAGGAGAGGTCCCAGTGCAGTGAGAAGGGGAAAGAGGAAGGAAATGACACACACACTGTGAGAAACACAGATAGGACACACACTCAGGTGGGCTGGAACCAACACAGCGCCTCCTGGCTGTCAGGGAGAAAGAAGCCAAGAAAACAGGCCCTTTGTAGGGCATTTTGAAGCAGGTGAGCAAGACTGGAGATGGCTATGGGTCTGAGGGACACAGCCACAGATGAAGGCCTTGGCGTGGGCAAAAAAAAAAGACAGCAACAGGGTCCCCAGTGAGGGTTATCAAGCCTGGGGGCAGGATGGCTGGAGGAAGATGAGGGTTTTAGGTTTGTCTGAGTTGAGTTGGCATGTCTGTGAAACACACAAGAAGACCAGGATTAAGGAAACAGGTTCAGGAATCTTGTGCTCAAGAGTGACCAGGCTGGCCCCTCACCTGCCCCTTGAACACAGCTCCTGTAGGGACACTGAGAGTCTCCTATGACTGAACTCATAGGACAGACCAAAGTTCCAAGGTCCCTTCGCAGGCAGCTTATTTTATGTTTTTAAAACACTGTATGACATTCTCTGGCCTCTCTGCCTGCTTCCTCCCATCCTAAGGGCTGGCTGCCTCCCCGCTTGACGATCCTGGCTATCTCATCCAGACCAATGACATGCCCTCAGTGCCCTGGCCTTACAGCTCCCTCTGTCTATCCCCCACCCCTAGAGCCCATGCCTGCTGCTGGCCTGACCCTCTACACTACGGTCACTAACTGCAGACTTGCCCCTCTGCCACCCTCCCAGGTCCCTCAGAGTACCTACCAGGAGCCCAAGGAACAGCAGCTTCTGCAGATGATCAAGAGATACAACCGTCGGACTGCTGAGGTGGTTATGTGGGACCCTGTCTCCCTAGCGACCCCACCGAGCTGTTAAGAGTAGGGGAAGAAGAGAAGGTTGGGGACCTTGGGCATAGTACATGCCTCTTACCATCAACGCCCCACCCCCAACAATGGTCTGAGGCCCCTGGGTTGTAGCTGGTAGGGGAAGAGCATCATGGTATCATGGCAGGAGCTGCTGCTGAAAGCGAACATGAAAGAGCTTCGGTGTGCCATGCCTCGGTCGCGCAGGGATCCACAAGCACAGGTAACACCCCGCCTCCAGGCCACAGTGGCATTTTTCTCATAGCATAAGGTTCTTTCTTCTGGGGCTAGGGTTGCAGTTCAGTTGGTGGCCTGGCATTCCGAAGCCTTGTGCTTGATCCCCAGCACCACATAAGCCAGGTGTGACCCTGGAACCGAGGCAGAGACAGAAGGATCAGTAGTTCAGGCCGTCCTCGACTTGCAGCCACAGGTGGCCCAAACACTTGTGGAGGTCAGAGAACAGCTTACAGAAACTGACTCTCTCCCACCATATGGGTCCTAGGGATTGAACTCAGCATCGGGCACAGCAGCAAGTACCTTTACCCACTGATCCATCTCAAACCCTTACGGAAAGACCAGAAAGATTGCACGTGGCAGTGCATGCCTTTAATCCCAGCACTCAGGAGGCAGAGTCAGCACATGTCTTTTTGGGTTCCAGGCCAGTCAGAACTAGTGAGACCCTGTTGCTGGCACCGTTCTTAAAATCTATTTTATTTTATTGGGGTTTCTTCTATCTCTTTCTCCCTGCTCCTCCCCAACACCAGGTAGGAGAGGAAGAAGGCTAGTGGGGAGAGGGCGTGTAGTTCTCTTTAGCTACTTCCTGTTGATTAGGGTCATTGGGTTCCTTGGAGCAGTCTTTCCTTCAGGATATCTCCAACTTCTCATCACACTGTAACAACAGCAACCAGGAGCAGCAAGAGGAGCACCAATATTCTTTTTTTTCTCAGAGGCCCCCTTCTCTCTCCAGGCTCTGGCATTTATTCCCTCTCCAGACTCCTCAGAATTAAACTATGTGCAGCTGGCAAAGATAACACTCCTCTCCGAGCCTGCACAAGGCAAATAGTCTGCTGCTGAGGACAGCGCCACCTAGGATTAAAACAAAACCATGCTTACATAACATATGAGTTTTTAAAGACACCAAAACTCCCACTACACCTGTCTTAAAAAGGGAGGTGGTGGCGCACATCTTTAATCCCAGCACTTGGGAGGCAGAGGCAGGCGGATCTCTGTGAGTTCAAGGCCAACCTGGTCTACAGAGCGAGTTCCAGGACAGCCAGAACTGCATAGAGAAACTGTGTTTTGAATAACCATCAACAATCAAACTGGGCTGGAGAGATGGCTCAGAGGTTAAGAGCACTGACTGCTCTTCCAAAGGTCCTGAGTTCAATTCCCAGCAACCACATGGTGGCTCACAACCATCCATAATGAGATCTGGTGCCCTCTTCTGTCAGGTGTACATGCAGGCAGAACTCTGTATACATAATAAATAAATCTTTAAAAACAAAAACAAACCCACAATCAAATAAGAGACAAGGGTGACTAGGGGCCAATACGAAGAAGTTCTGTCCTCAGAGAAGCTCCCTCAGGAGCAGGATCGTCTGGGCCAGCTAACTGGCACAGGCTCTATCAGCTGGTAGTCCAGGGCTATGTACCCCAGTCGGCAGCATGCTTGGTGTTGTGATGGCTGCCTTTACAGACTGTTCCTCCATGCTGGGACCTAAGGTCTCCCCAACTTTCATCAAAGGACAGCAGGAGACATTCAGCCCAAGAAAAGGGAATAAGGCCAGTGAGAACCTAGCCCTGGGGGATAACCAAAGAGAAGGATACTGAATCCTGAGGAAGCTAGCCAACCTATGTAGGGACTGCTGCCCCTAGGTCTAGAAGACGCTTTGCTTTTGTTACTGCTCAGGAGGTTCAGCACCCCAGCAGGGCTTCCAGGGCAATGGAAGAGAGAACGTCGTCCTGAGGGGGCCACAGTAGGCACAGGTAGATGGGCAGCTAGAGTGGGGACATAGGAGAGTGGGTGACCTTTCCAGGAGTGCTGGGCAGGCCCAGATGCCAGATTGCCTCTGCCTGATTTGCAGGACTCCAAGAAGAAGCAGCAACATCAATCTGCCCCCCGCATACGCAGGACTCCAAAGTTGACCTTCTACAAGGTGAGGGCCTCCTAGCCTATCAGGCCTCTTCTTGGGACTTCCTTGCCTGTCTGCCTTACCCTGAGTGGGCTCTGAGAGGAGGAGCTTCAGGGACCAGGGGCCCCATAGGCAGCTTCACCCATGAAGCAGAGAGAAGTGTCTAAGTCAGGGGACCAGTTGGAAGGGCTTGATAGCTGATAGCAGGACGCTTGCTTCTGAGACACCTACCTTCCATTTCTCCCCTCTGCCACAGCCTAACAATGTCCCGGTCAAGCTGAACACAGCCACCATCCTTCGAGAAGGGGCCTTGTACCAGCGGCAGGTGGAGAAGGAGCTGGAGAGGTGAGGGGCAGATGGAGTTATCTAATTCTTTCCCTTCCACCCTCAGGGGTGTTACCCTCAAGAGAAAAGCCCAGAGTAAGAACTTGGCATCAGGCAGCCCAACAAAGAGGAGAGAGGAGGCTCTGAAGATGTTAAGGAAAATGCAAGCAAGGCCAGGGCAGGGCATGGTGGTTCACTTTTTGTTTGTTTGTTTGATTGGTTGGTGTTTTTTTTTTTTTTTTTTCCAGACAAGGTCTCTCTGTGTATCCCTTTCTGTCCTGGCACTCACTCTGTAGACCACGCTGGGCCAGGAACTCAGAGATGCACCTGCCTCTGCTGGGATTAAAGGTGCATACCGCTACCATCCAGCTGATGGTTCACCTATTAGTCTGAGCTCTCTGAAGGCCGAGGCGAGAGGATGGAGAGTTCACTCAGGATCAGGTTTATGGACGTTTGCCAGTTTATTGTAAAAGGTGTTATGACTGATACTGACAGAGAGATGCATAGAGCCTATAGGAAAGCCAGTGGTGCCTCCCTACTTACTTACCAAGGTGCACCGCCCTCTAAGACCTTTTAGCTGATGAGCGGTCCAAGAGCTCACACGAATCTTGGCATTTACATTTTGTGGAGACCTCAGAGGTAGATGTGGCTGATTGCAATGTTGGTCAAGGGGAATCAGCTTAACTGTCAGTTCTCTGCCTGTCCCCCCAGATCCCAGCACTCTGATCCTGGTTTTGTCTTGGTCTTTCTGGTGATCCATCCTACCCAAGGCTACCTAGGGGTGGCCAGTTGGCAGCCAAGGATCAAATCCATATCTGACAGCTCCATGGTCCATGTCCCATCTTTGAACATTAATCCTCTACAGGAAAAAGATATGCAGCCCAGACAATGTTGCCTATAACAGTTGCCCTGTTAGAACTGTTCTTTGGTTCAGTCACGAAAGTCTCTCAGAGCTTTCTGTTAGGTCAGTTCTAAAAGTGGGAGTGGCTCGGCTCACACAGCCCCTTTCCTCCAGGGTGAGGTGTAAATGGGGTAGGTCAGCACTATTTCTTGTTCTGAGCCTCTCCTGATAGTGAAACAGTATTGAACGTCTGAAACACATCGCTTCATTCCTTCACCTACCTGGGCCACGCCTCACTACTAACACCCAAGTCTTTCCGTGGGATCTGGGAATCAGAAAGCATGCTGGTATAGTCCACAGGCAGCAAGCAGTTCCTGACTGCCAAGTGGCTCTCCCTTGGTCCATCCTCATTCATGCAGAACAAAGAACTCCAAATCTCCCAGAGTGAGTGAATGCGCAACCCAGCCCTACTGTTTATCCCATGCCTTCCATCAGCAACACCCTTCCTCAAGCCAGGGTGTAAGATTTCACTTCAGCAGCCAGCAAGCATGCTTCAGCCATGGAAATAGCTGGGTATCCTCTAATTCATTTCTGCTGTGGCACCTTCTACCTGAGGCAATATTAAATGCCACAGGGCGAGGGCTCTGTCCTCAAGACTGTCCACCCCAAGATGCTGATTGGAATCCTCACATAGTTTTATTATTGTTGTTGTTTTATTTTGTTCTTGAAATACTGAGGATCAAATCCAGGGCCTTGCACATGCTAGGCAAGCACCCAAACACTAATCAACATCCCCAGGTGGTTTTCACTGTGTTTCTGAGCAACCACATACAGTTTGGGGTTTCATGACCCCTTTGTTGTTTTTTTAAGACTTACTTTATTTATTTATTTATTTATTTATTTATTTATTTATTTATTTATTTGTCATTTATGTGTGCATCTCTGTGATTGTATGGGCATGTGTGTGCAGATGCTTGAGGAGACCAGAAGATGGCATCAGATTCCTTGGAGTTAGAGTTAATAAGTGTGAGCTGCCCTTTGTGATTGCTGGCATGTGAACTTCACTCCTTCTGATAGGACAGCAAGTGCTCTTAAAAGCTAAACCCTCTCTCTTGTATTCCTTCTCCACTTGATTAAACTGGATACAGAAGCTCAGGGAACTTGGGGACAGGCTTATTTTCATATACCAATTCATTGTAAAAAGTGTGACTAAGAGCCAAGCACAGTGGTACATACCTATAACCCCAGCACTTGGGGAGGCAGAGGCAGGCAGATTTCTGTGAGTTCAAGGCTAGCCTAGTCTACAAAGGGAGTCCAGGACAGCTAAGGTTACACAGAGGAATCCTGTCTCAAAACAAAACAAAATGCACAGGACAGAGAGGAAGAGTTGGGTCTCAGCCTCACTCCCCATTCAGATCATCAGCCTCCAGGATCTTGCACCTGCTCTGATTGTCCAGAAACTCATGTGAACCCTGACCTGTGTGTTGTATAAAGACTTGACACGTGGATGATTAAAGAAATCCCTGATGTGTGAAATCCCCTCCCTTCCTGTCCAGCTTCCCTCCAGCAATGTGATGGTGAAGCTGAAATTTCCAAACTCTGCTCCTGCCTTGGTCTTTCTGGTGACCAGTCCCCATTGCTGAAGGTGCCCAGAGACCAATAATCCTCACTTATCTTATTTTCATAGAAAAAGACACTGTGATATTCTCAAGTATTTTAGGCATCCAGTTATGTGGCAAGAAATGGGGATGAAAACCAAATGTATTTCACAGTGTCCTGACCAGACTCTGGTCCTGCTATGGTGGAAGAAAGGCAAGCAGGCTCGTGGCCACAAATCCCAGCTCTGTGAGTGAGGAGCAGACCAGGGCAGGAAAAGACTTGGCAACCCCTGGTCCCCTCCCTTTGACCACCCTCAGGGTCACTTGCTCCTTGGGCCCTACCCATGAGTTTCCTTTCATGTCTACAAGTTGGGCTGTTAGGAGGGAGCTCAGGTGGCTGACTGGAGAGATGAGTACAGGAACAAGCATGTGTGGACAGGGTTGGTAAGTGGACAGACAGGGACAGAGAAAGAATAGACAGAGAAATGGGTGGAGGGGAGGTTAAGGAGGTGACTGGTGGGTGAGTAGGTACACAGAAGAGACAGACAGATGTAAGCAGGTAGGTAGTGGTTGGGAGTGAGTGGTATGGCTGAATGTTCTTTGAGGCAGTCCATGCCTGAGAGGACCTATGGCCTCCTAGTGGTCCTGACCACATGAGGAAACCTAGCTGCACCTCTGTCTCTCTTCCCCAGAGTTGATAAGCTTGTGGACGGGGCTGGGGACTTCTCTGAATTCCTCGAGTGGCAGAAGAAGATGCAGGCAAAGGACCTGGAGGAACAGCTGGCTGCAAGCGAGTGCCGGAGGCTGCAGGGGAAGCTGAGCCATGAGGAGGCCATCTTGGCTCGTCGTAACCTCATGCAGGAAAACAAGCAGAAGGCTGACCAGAAGAAGGAAGAGGTGATGTACACTGTGTAGCAGTGGCCAGGGCTATATTGTGACTTCTGAGAGTCACGAGCTATGGCCAACAGAGAAATCATGTGCCTATGCTATGGCTGGCTACAGCCTGGCAGCAGCAGGCTGCTGATGACCCCAGGTCATCTCCTACCAAGACCTACGGGGAAACATGGTTTCTATATCCCTACCTCAACAGCCAGGGGTCCATAAGAGTTTCGAGTTAACTGGGCTGAAGGGTACTTCTGCTCATGCCAAGGGGCTACCCAAGGTCAAGGGTTTCAGCTTTGTCTCTCCTTGGATGTGTCCCACTGAGATTAGGGCATGAAGGGGAGATAGGATAGAGAGGAGAGAGATATAGATGACTGAATTTCTTTCCTTTTGTTTTTCTTTGAGCAAGACTGCTAGCAAACCACAACCAACCCCCCTGAAAGACCACCGATCACCAACCCCACGTATTGGGGCTCTAGCATTTACATACCCTCTGAAAAGTTCCCAGAAATCCAAATGTCACACAATCACAGAAGCTATCTGCAGCTGGCAAAACCTCACCTCTGCTAGGGCACGAGGCAAATGATAGCTGCTGCTGCAGGCAGTCTGAAGCAGCCCCCTATCTCCAGACCTGGGATTAAAATGAAACCATATTCTTATAATATTTCTTGTGTTTTTTTTAAAAACCAAAATTCCAGGACTGTCACTGCAATGCTCTTGTTTTTCCACTTCTTGGGATGGGAACAAAGGTTGCTCATGAGACAGCCCTGCTTTTCGGCTATAAAGACTTAGTGTTTAACCTTTTCTCTTCTTCATTGCTTTATCTGTGTACCCCAAGTCCTGACATGTTGTATTCCATTTCAAATAGAAGGTCGGTGTATATTTTCCCTATTTCCCCTGAGAGTTCCTCTTTGCCCCATGAATTTTTTTTTTACAAGTGTGTTTTCTGATTTCCCAGCATTTGTAAATGTCCCCATAATCCGTTAACACTTTCTAGTTGGAATCTGCTGTGGTCGGTGAATGTACTGTGTCTCTTGTTTGTATCTTGCTGTGATTTGCTCATTTGCTTGATTTTTGTTTTGAATCAGCATCTTGCCATGTAAGCCAAGCTGGCCTCAAACCTGTGATCCGCTTTACCTCCTGAGTGCTGGCACTGCCAGGCTTCTTGGCACCATGCCCTTTGTTGAGCTATTTTTTTTTTTATCTGTGATGTTGTCTTGTTGTGTGTTCTCTATATCGTGGGCACTCAAGAAGAATGTGGGGTCTTGGTGGGTTCTACAAAGTCCATGCCTTCTTGCTGAGTAACACTAAAATAGTTCTGTTTATTTGCTAATTTTCTGTCGAGTTGGTCAATGCATTGATTGTTGACGGTCCTTGAAGTCTACAAATATAACTGTGAAATTCTCCTTTTCTTCTTTCTATTCTATTTTGGTTTTGCTTCACATACTCTGCAGCTCTTTCCTTGGTATATGCACATTGGGAGCTTCTATATTTTCTGCAGAGTTGAGTCTTTTAGTACTATGTCATGTATCCTTTTTTAAAAAAGATATATTTATTTATTATGTGTTTATACAGTGTTCTGCCTGCATGTATACCTGCACAACAAAAGAGGGCACCAGATCTCATTATAAATGGTTCTGAGCCACCATGTGGTAGCTGGGAATTGAACTCAGGACCTCTGAAAGAGGTCAGTGCTCTTCACTCTGAGCCATCTCTCCAGCCCCTGTCATGTTGTATCTTTGTCACTGGTAATTTTCTTTGCTCTGTCATCTACTTTACCTGATAATAAGTCCATCTTTCCTTTGGTTATATTTGCATGAGGCATATTTGCCTTTTAGCTTTCCTATTGTGTATTTAGATTGAGTTTCTTGTATATTCTTTTTTGGTTTTTGGAACAAGGTTTCTCTGTGTAGCTCTGGCTGTCCTGGACTCACTTTGTAGACCAGACTGGCCTCAAACTCTCAGAGATCCACCTGCCTCTGCCTCCCTGAGTGCTCAGATTACAGGTAAGTGCCACTGCCCCCGGTTTTGTGTTTTTAATCTAGTTTTCCAATCTATCTACTAATTAGTATGTGCCCCCAAAAATAACATAATTATTTTGGTGGAGCTTTCTGCATTATTTGGTTGTGTGTGTGTGTGTGTGTGTGTGTGTGTGTGTGTGTGTGTGTGTGATGTATGTACTTGTTAATATGAGCTTATGTGCCTGTGTATGCAGCTGCCAGCGTGTATATATGTATGTGGAGATCAGAGGTCAACATTGAGTATCTTTCCTCAATCACTTTTTTTTTTTAATTTTCACTTCTCTATAGTTATTTTGAGCAAGGGCATGTGCCCCAGCATGCATGTGAAGGTCAGAAGACATGTTTGTAGAGTCCATTCTCTCCATAAACCTTTATATAGTCCCCAAATCAATCTTAGGTAGCTATGCTTAAAATACAAATGCCAAAGCTGGCGGGTGTGGTGGCATGCGCCTGTAATCCCAGCCCTCAGAGAGGCAGAGGCAGGTGGGTGGCTATGAGTTTGTGGCCAGCCTGGTCTACAGAGTGAGTCCAGGACAGCCAAGACTACATAGAGAAACCCTATCTGGAAAAACAAAAACAAAAACAAAACAAAAAAAAAAAGATGCAAATGCCTTTGCCTACAATGCCATTTTATGGGCCCTCCACCTTTATTTTTTTATTTTGTTTATTATTTGATTATTCAAGACAGGGTTTTTCTGTGTCACCTTGGCTGTTCTGGACTCGCTTTGTAGACCAGGCTGGCCTCGAACCCACAGAGATTTGCCTGCCTCTGCCTCCCAAGTGCTGGGATTAAAGGCATGCACCACTGCACTTGGCTGATATCAAAGTTTTAATTTTGTTTTCCTGGGTACAACTGGGCTGACTTTTTTTTTAATACTCGAAAAACATTTTTCAACTTCCTCTGGGTTCTGGGGTCATTCAGCTCTTTTGCCATAGGCCAAGCATCAGTCCTCCTCTGGACACAAAGATACTTTCTTTGTCTTTGGTTTTCAGATTATGATTTCTCTTGGCATGTTTGAGCAATCTTAGCCACTTTCTCTTAGATCTGTCCTGCTTATTCTCTCCTGGGACTCCAATGACACAAATGTTAGGATTTTCGTTCGTTATAGCTCTCTGCAAGTTTTTCATTCTGTTTGCTCTCTGTGGCTCAAACTGAACAAACCCCTGTTTTCCATTTTCCTCAGCCCTCCACTCTGCTATTGAATTCAGCGGCATTCATTACTACTTTCATTGCTGTCACCAAACACCAGATGGGAGGGCCTTAATGGAGGAAGGATTTGTTCTGGCTTCCGGTTCAGAGGCTACATACAGTACACACCAGCCCCATCCATAGCAGCATGAGCTTAGCTAGGGGAGCAGAAAGCTTGGGCCAGACCAATTGGCTATCATCCTTGGGGCTTGCCTACGGTGATTCACTTCTCTGCTACCTAGACCACAGTCTTAAATACTCCAAAACTTCCCAAAACAAAACCACCAAGTACAAATTGGAAACACTACTGAGAATTTGTTTTTCCATGCTAAAATTTCCATTTAGCTCTTCCTTCGCAGAGTCAGAAGTGGCTGCTGCCTCTGTGTCTTCCTGGCCACATACAGGAAGCTCTCACAGCCTCTCCAGGCCTGGTTACAATCTAACAAGGTCTCTCCTGACATCCAAAAGTTTTGTCAGTAAGCAGCCACAGGTAGAACCCAAGGAGGAGACTGCCAACAGAACTACCTTCACGGTCAGGCCACAAGAGCCTGGCATCCCAGTCCCAGAACCGTGTCCTTCAGTGTCTGTGTGTGAATGTTCTGCTGGCCAAACTATGCATGCCCAGGGGTCTTGCTGTTAGTTCTGAGCATGCCCAACACATACATTCATTCCTATAGCTAAAATGTTTGCCTAATGATAGTCACATTAGATGATACTGAATATTTGAAAATAAAATTGAGTTTAGTTTTTCTTGTGCACAAGTGTAGTGATGCTTTTTTACAGTCCCAGCATCTCTGTGTAGCTCTGGCTGTCCTGGACTTGCTTTGTAGACCAGGCTGTCCTCGAACTCACAGAGCTCCACCTCCCTCTGCTTCACCAAGTGCTGGGATTACAGGCCTGAGCCACCACTGTCCAGCTTTTTTTCTTTTTGATTATTTATTTATTTTATTTTATGTGCATTGGTGTTTTACCTACGTGTATGTCTGTGTGAGGGTGTCAGATCCCCTGGAACTGAAGTTACAGAAAATTGTGAGCTGCCATGTGGTACTGGAAATGAAACATGGGTCCTCTGAAAGAGTAGCCAAGTGTTCTTAACCCCTGAGCCATCTCTCCAGCTCCCAGAAGCCTCTTTTATATTGAGAGATAAGATGTTTGTGCCCCCCCCCCTTGGATTTCTGTGCTTAATACAGTTATTAGCTAGGTGTAGCAATACATACCTGCAATCTTATCTCACAGAAGGCCGAGGCAAGAAGGTTGGGACTTTGAGGGCAGCCTGGGTGACACAGGGAAATACTGACTTTAAAATATGACCTCACTATTCTCTAACAAGCCCCTATGCCTTACCATGGGGCCAATATTGAGTTCTATCTCTAGTTTCATCCACAGTGACCAATATATTGTAGGAACTCTGTCAACAAGTGTGGGAAAGATGTATTTAAAATCATGGGTGTAGCAATGGTCTTTGTTTGTTTGTTTGTCTTTGGAGACAGGGTTTCTCTGTGTAGCCTTGGCCATCCTAGAACTGGATCCATAGACCAGGCTGGCCTCAAACTCAGAGATCCACCTGCCTCTGCCTCCCAGATGTCACCACAGCCTGAAAACAATGATTTTTTTTTTTAATGTTAGTTTTTAATGTGAGTGGATGGATAGATTTGTCCATACTGGTATTTGAATCTGGGCCCCTGAACATGATAGGTGCGTGCTCTGCACTAAGCTATATCCCCAGCAACGGTGGTATTTTTAATTTAGTTTTAACACTAACTTGATCCTGGTTATATTTTCTTAACTAAATTTATCCCCCTTTTAAAATAATTTGATAAACCATGCAATAAGCTATACTGAATAAAACTCACTGTTTAATCCCTCACCACAGCAGGACCAATGCAGGGTAGCTGTACCAGTCTCAACACTAAATCCACTAGTGAGAAACATTTCACATGCTGGTTGCTATAGGGACCAATCTTTGGAACATTTTTACCAGTCTTTATTCAGTCTGATGTAGTTTGGCAGCTTTTGCCAGGCTTTTCCACTTGGCTCCAATCACACAAAGGCCATCTAGCATGTTCTGTGTTTTTGGTTTTGTTTTTTTCCTTCAGTGTAGGGAATTAAGCCTCCCACATGCCAGACAAGGACTTTCTCACTGAGCTGCACCCCAGCTCTGTTAGTTTGGAAGTTCTCCCATGCAGGTTAAGTCAGAGCTTCTGCTTAGTGCCGTCTTGAAGAACAGTCCTTATTTGGATGTTCTGTTGTGGGGAGGAGATCTGTGGCTGAATCCAAGAGCTGGACCAACGATGCGTTCACTGCCTCTTGCCCCTCAACAAAACCAGGCAGAGACTTCCACCAGAGGAGACAGCCGGGTGTCTGCCCCTAGACTCAGCCAGCTGGCTGCTCTGCCACTCACTTCCCTGGGGATTTCAGACTTTCTGTGGATCTGGCACAGAAATATGTCTCACCAAACCCCTGTGCCCACCTGCCACCCTCACTTCTTCCTTCACTCAGTCCCTTTTCTTTGATGACCCCTAAGAGTGTGCTGATGTCACTGATGGTGACCCCCTCTCTTGAGCCCTTGCCATGCTGTTCACTGTGTCCGGCACAACTGAGGAAGTAGCATACCGACAGAAACAATTAAACGAACCAACTCTTTTCTTAAAAGAAAAAAGTTAAATGAAACTGAATCTTAGGGAGGCCCAGATGTTGGGAAATCTATGTATCTGTTTAAATTAGAGTCCCAGGCCAGGCCAGGGCAGGCCTGACTTGGAGAGCTGCAACAAACTATTTAGACATCAGACCTGTTGTTCTGGAATCCAAGGTGAATGTAGGCAAGATGGAGTTGATCTCAGGTTTAGAACAATGAGAAGCTTCTAGGTTGCTGTGCCAGTGGTCTACACGTCGTAAAAGATGGTAGTTGGTCCTGGAGAGATGGCTCAGTGGTTAAGAACACTGGCTGCTCTTCCAGTGGACCCATGTTTCATTTCTAGGACCACATAGTGGATTACAACCACCTGTAACTCTGGTCCCATGGGATCTGACAACCTTTTTTGGCTTCCTTGGACATTGCATGCCTGTGGTTTACATGCTGGCAAAACACCCATGCACATGAAAAAATAAACTAAAAACAAACAAACAAACAAAAGCTGATAGTTGGAAGGTTGTTAATTATGATGTCCCTGGAAATCCAAAAGCCATTGCTGTTCATATTTCTATCATTGGGGGTTTGGGGCCAATTAACAGCCTTAAAAGATTAATGTGTCTAGATACCAACTGGAGCAAGAATGGGACCCAGAATTAGAAGGTAAAGAAGACAGACACAAATGAAGGCAAAGTTGCCATGGCTTTTCCTGCTTTTAGTTCCCTATCAGGCCCCTGTGAAGTCAGAGAACTTAGCAAAATCAACCTCTAAGTTCTTATTTGCATGGCTTATTCCCAAGTTGGTGCCTTTTCCATGGAGCTGTATCATCTTTCAGATTCTCTGTGCTAAGAATTGCTGCCTGCCCATAGGCTTTTCCTTACTCCTAGCATGAAGCTCTCAGCCAATGGCCAGGCTCTCTTATCTTTTGATTCCAGATGATGTAGCCAGGCCTGGGATCCTTGTAACAGTGTTTTGGGAAAAGGTCCGAAATGCAGAAACAGGCATCTTTTTTTTTTTTTTTTTTTTTTTTTTTTTTTTGCTTACTTGAGACAGGCATGGTAGCCGATACATGCATGTCACTCAGCACTTGAGAGGCTGAGTTAGAGTTTGAGGCCAACCAAGGCACACAGTGAGACCATGTCTCAAAATTAACAAAATGGCTCTATATATCCTGATAGCCACTTTCTTTTTGTATGCTTTGGTTTTGTTGTTGTTAGGTTTTTGTTGTTAGGTTTGGTGTTTTTTTGTTTTTGTTTTTGAGATGAGATTTCTCTGTGTAGTACTGGCTGTTCCGAATCTCACTCTGTAGACCACTCTGGCCTTTAATTTAGAGATCTACCTGCTTCTGCCTCCTGAGTACTGGGATTAAAGGTGTATGCCACTACATCGATGCTAGAAAGCCACTTTCTTAAACCTCATATTTCCACATAAGCATTTCTACAACTTAATATGGTATTTCAAAAGTGAGGCAGAGGGTATATAAATCAATGAGAGGGCATGAGAAAACCCTAAGTTTCAATTTTCAGGATAAAAAAATAAATGTTCAGGGCTGGAGAGATGGCTCAGAGGTTAAGAACACTGGCTGTTCTTCCAAAGGTCCTGCGTTCAAGTCCCAGCAATTACATAGTGGTTCATAACCATCTATAATGAAATATGATACCCTCTTCTGGCCTGCAGGCATAATATTATATAAATAAATAATAAATAAATGGATGTCCAGCTAGGCAGTGGTGGGACATGCCTATAATTCCAGCACTCCTGTGTAGAACTAGGAAGCTCAGGAGTTCAGGGTCATCCTTTGAAGGACCAAGGCAAGCTCCAGGCCAATCCAGTCTACATGAGACTCTGTCTCAAAAGAAAACAATCCCCCGCCCCACACACACACCACTTCTTTTGGTTCTGGAGATCAAACCCATGTGCTTCTTACCAGACCCCCCTCCTAGGTTCCCCCACATTGAGCATCTCTATCAGGTTCTAGAACCACTACAACAAAATACTAGAAACAGCCTCAGAACGACCCTGGAAAGAAGGAAGAAGGACACGAGGTGGAACTTCCCCAAGAGGCCCAGCTTCAAAGGGACTGGACCCTCCAGGAGCTAGTGGCTCTGGGATGACCTCAGGGCAGGCCTGGCTGGGTGTCCCCCAAACTTCTGATGTAGTTTAGGACAGGATTAAATGGAGGACCCAGCCCAATCCAGTTCTCACCGTTTTGGGTCCTCTGAGCAGACAGCTGAGTTAATGCTGCAGTGTGCTGAGCGGCGCCAGCAACAGGAGAAGTTCGTGAAAGAGCTGGTGGAGCAGGTCATAGAGACCCAGAAGAATGTCAAGGTGGCCCAGATGAAGCTTGTGAAAGGCCGGCAGCAGATAGGTACTGCAGGGAGTCAGGCATCATGAGGCCTGCCCCATTCCCTTGTGTCCCTCTCAATTACCAAACAACCTACTTTGGTCATTGAGGGGTGGTGCCCCTGGGAGGGTGGGCTAGGATTGAACAGGGGCACTGAAGAAGACACTCCTGGGAGATACAGCCCCTGTCCAGTGTCTGCCAGATCATCCACTGTCCTCATCAGCACCCCACTTTGTTCCCAAGTTCAGGAGGTGATAGAGGAGAGCCGGGCGTTGCGACAGCGTAGCACAGAGGCAGCCAAAGAGGAGCAGAAGCAGCGCTGTGAGCTCATCGCCCAGCTGCGTGCGATGGAGACACAACCCACACGCAAAGAGAAGCTAGTGGACCTTACCCAGGTGAAACTGTGGCCCTTGGAGGCTTCAACTTCAGGGTACCTCCTTGTGTAAAAAGCATGTACAGAATTCCCATCAAGGCCAAAGGTGGGTCTTATCCTACCGACAATCCCCTAGTTACCTGGGTACCACATGTGGTAATTGAATTCAGCTATGGGTGAATTCAGCTTATAGTATGTACTACAAGACAGACAGTGAGTTTCTCCTATGATCTCTCCACTAACCTTGATATGGTACCAACCACAGACCAAAGAAACAAATTCCACCGTACTCTAAACCAGTGACCCAGTGAGTTTATTGAGGCTACATAGAGGAGCATGGGGGAGGGTTAATTTTGGAGGCATAGAGGACTCAAAGATAAGCTTACCAGTGCAAGGGACAACCAGAAAAAACTATACCTCAGGAGCTCCCTGAACAATCTGCAGGCAGCTCAGCCTGCTCTTGAGAGCCTTTTTCCTGAGGAAATACAACACACATCTACTTACCACAGAAAGGGAACCCCTGCCAGACCAAGGTCACAGCTGACACCGAATCCCAACCTGGTGAACCAATGGATTTTTACTGGGGCTCCTAACAACAGTATGACAAGAGGTTACTTACAGGCTCCAGGATAGCTCAGAAGCAATTGTGTCGCTGAAAAGCCTACCTCAACACAGATGACAGCTCATGAAAGCTGTATCCCAGTAGCTCTCTGCACAATTTGTAGGGAACTTGACAGGCCTAGAATCTTCTCTGACAGGTATACTGGTCAGTCTCCTCTCTGGTACTTGTTTACTCGTTTTATAAAGCAGGGAGAGGACCTTGAGTCTCCTGAGCCTTACCCCACGTATACCTCCTGGACTGGTTGGCTTCCTTTGGACGAAATTGCCATACAACACTTGCCCGAGAGTTTTATCTTTCCAGCAACTGTCACTGTTATACAACCATGGCTTCCGAGGCTTGGTGAATCCTGTAATTTCCTAAGCTTCCTGGGCCTTGTAAGTTTCCTTTGCTTCCTGAGTTGTAGGAGCCTCCCTCTTACCTGGAGGATGGAATGTTTTTATTTGGAGGAAAGAGCTACCCATCAGAGATGGATCTCTGAAGGGGAGAGAGCTAAACTGCATGGAGGGAGCCATTTGGGGAGCTGCATGTTGAGGGGTGAGGTCCCTGGACTCTCCAGACCCAAGGTGGGAAGGAGAGTAGGGGGCACCCAAGTGTACAGAAGTCCTGAGCCAGAGAAAGCCGAGGGCTAAGTGAGTAGGTGAAAGGCAGCAGCCTGGAGAGAGCAGAGAAGAACCAGGCTCACGGGAGCGAGGGGGCAGGTCTGGGAGGTTTTGGCAGCTGACTGCTGGGTCTCACGTAGACCCCAGGGGCGAGATGTCTCCCTCTGAGAAGTCCAGCCCTACTGTGGGGCTCTGGGCTGGAGCTGCTGAGGGGGCTACACAGGAAGACTGAAGCAGAGGAAAGGTCTTCTTGGTGGAGGGGCGACTGGCTTGTACAGCCGCCAGCCTGAGTTCTCTCCTGTTACTTGGAAGATTCCGGGATACGGTCTGGAAGGCGAGATGTCTGTTGTGGAGCTTAGAGAACGGCTGGGCCTGCTCAAAGAGACCCAGAAACGAGACCAGGAGGAGAAGCGGGATCATATTATCCAGGACAAGCGAGCCCGGAATAAAAAGCTACAGAACACAGTGGAGCAGATCTCACTGTGCCGCGCAGCCATGGGTAGAACTGCAGCCTTGAGGTGGGTACCATGGTCCCGGGGAGGGCAATTCCATGTGTTGAAGGAGCAACGGAACAGCAAGCCTGCTATACACCTTCCTCTGTGGGTACCCCTGCCACAACCACCAGCCCCTGCCAGACAATCCTTCACAGTGATTCTGACCACTTTTATCTTATGGGGGGATTAATCAGTTCTGTGGCAATGGCTTTAATGCCTGTGACACATAACTTATGCTGTTGAAGTAACTTTTATTCACCTGATGTAACTGTTATCTTTGAAGCTTGTGGCCTCTGTCTGCTAACCTAGGTCTAGTCCTGGAAGCCTCTTGCCTCCATACAACCTTATCTCGACCTAGAATGTTTTCAGCCTCTGAGACTTACTACTGAATAAGCTCACCCTTTCCTATTCTTTCTGAGCTCTTACTGGTTGGTTCAATGCAGCTGTTTTGTCTTACCCTCTTCTTCCATCTGATTTATTCAATCTGGCTTTCCTCTTGGCCTCTGAATTGCTTGGCCTCAAACTCCAGCAATCTGTTCTAATCTTCTGGCTCCTTCTTATTCTATGGCTTGTTCTGTCTTCACCTGTGTCTAGCTTGTTTTCTCTTCAGCCTCTGTCTGTAAAACCCTCCCAGTAAAACTGCCTCTTCTCTCTCTAACTCATTCTCCGTGCTTCTCCCTAAATTAGCGTCCCTTTCCTCTCATTTTTCATGAGAGTGGGGCGTATCCTAGTCTGTCAAATCTTTCTCTGATTCATCACTTATTCTGCCACTCAATTAGACATGACTTTCAAACCTGAGTTCTACAAACTAACTTTACTTTCACTGTTTGGGATTAAAGACATGTACCACCACGCCTGGACCTAAGCTTTTTCTTTGCCTGGAACTTGCTGTATACCAGGAAGACATCTGCTTGCCTCTTCCTCCTGGGATTAAAGGCATGTCTGTATTCTAGTCGGATCACACAGACCTAGGTCTCTGGATGTGATCTCTTGGCAGAGCAGCCATGTTCTGAGTTAACATTCCTCTACACTATGCGATGCATCAGCATCTCAGCCACGACCTTTGTGCAGTATATGCTTCACCTAGCTGTTTCTCAAAGACAGAGATGGTTCCTTCAAAACATTTAGAAATAGGTAACCATAGAAATGGCTGCAGGTACCACATACTTCACTCTGGAGCACTGTCGAGTGTATTTTCTAAAAACAAAAGAGCCACAGCATCATGGCATAACTAGCAAAAGTAACCAAAAATTCTCAATACCAAATACCCGTCTACATTCACACTTCTCCAAGTTTCCCAAGACTGGTTTTAACATACCGTCTGTTATTTTTTTTCTTTTTAAACCACTCTTGTATTACATAGAGTTATGTGTACCTATGCACACTTTTTATTTGTTTGAAAACATCGTTAGGCCAGGGTCCAACGTCAGCCATGTTGATCACATGGTCGCAACTGCTCCAGTGGAGCAGAGCAGACTGTGCTCCCTCCGTGGCCAGAGGAAGGGCCCTAACTCATTGCCAGGGGAAGAGAATGCATCACTCTTGGTCCCTCGAGCAACTGCTGCCCTAACTCCAATTCAAAAGAAGCAATGCCACCACAGCCGGCTCAGAAAGGACTAGCCGGCCACAATTCCACAAGGACACATGTCTCAGGAAAGCCACCACTTCCCAGCTGCTGGCCTCGCCCTGGCAGAGCCCAGAAAACTAGTCGGTGTTGGAGTGCCTGTCAAGAGTCAACTCCGGCTAACGAAAGTCTTGGATCCCTCCCCACTTGTGCAGCCAGCCCCACCACAGGAATTTAAAGTGGGAGAACTTCTGTAGGGAAACAGGGTCAGAGCAGTTGGGCAAGAGCTGAAAAGCAAGGAGAGCATGTGTTCATGCCCCAGGCTGTGCCATCCACTTTAATCAAAGCGTCAGCCTGCGAGACCTGCAACTGGACGGGAAAAGTAGCCCATATTAGGAAGGGAATGTACAGAAATGCACTGTGTCGGCAGCTGCCAGGGCCAGGGTGGCATGAGAGAACAAAGGGAGTGAGGCAAAAGGAGTTCTTCCATTTTCACACCAATTCTATACTTAGTTAGAATGCAACTTTTTTTTTTTTTTAAACCATTAAAAGATTAAAAGGAGCCTGTCGTGGTAGCAAACACCTTTAATCTCAGCACTCAGGGAGGCAGAGGCAGGCAGATCACTGTGAGTTCGAGGCCAGCCTGGTCTATAACGTGAGTACAGGACAGCCAAGGTTACACACAGAGAAACCCTGTCTCTGGGTTAAAAAAAAGAGGATACTGGCAGAACCCACGAAAACCCTCCTGGGTGTCACCCAGCCCACTTCTAAGCCAATGCTGTCGCGGCCCAGGTGGGAGGAAAAGAAGGCCCAGGCCGCAAGTCTGGGGACACCCTCTCAGGATGAGCGCGTGCTGGAGCTGCGGCGCAGAATGGAGGAGAGGGCAGCTGAGCGCCGTAGGCAGAGAGCACAAGTGTCACCACCCCGGGCTGTGCGTGCCCAGCAGCGGGTGAGCTTGAGAGGGAAGCAAGGGCAACCTTTCGGGTCCGAGTGGTTGGGTGGGCGCTGTGAGGGCGTGGGAAAGTCGATGTCTGGGGGCCTACGTGGAGGACTCGGTGCCGCCTTGTCTGACCGCCCAATCTACCGCCTACAGGACGAGATGGAGCACTGGCTGGAGCTGGACCAGAGTCGCGAGCGCAGACTTCGCAGACTGCGGGCAAGGCAAGAGGCAGGCGGCACCTGCCGGCCAACCCAACACCTGAAGACTGCTTGAACTCGCCAGGGCCCCACGCCAACACCGCGTGTGGCCGCCCACTTGGGCCCCGCCCCTGCCCCTCCGACAGCATCTCTCTTCCTGCACCCCTGCCATGAGTTCAGCCCAGACTCCCCAGCTCCAGTTTGCCTCCCCGCCTTTTTTCATGGTTGCCCCGGAAAAGACGAGATGTGGTGGCGCAGGAGAAACGCTAAACAACCATCTACTTTTCCTCTGGACTGCAACCCATGTTTTTAAATGCTAAACCCGGTCTTTCCCTGTTGTCTGAGCCCCTAGGTGGACGACTGGGTGCCTCCTTGACGCAGAGCCAGTGGATCTGCCTGGGAACCCCACAGAAGTGTGGGATTGCAAATGAGGTCAGATTCTTGCTCACCGGCTATGAACTAGGCCCCAGTGGATCATCACGAAGCAACTAGACCCCACTCCTCTCCTGTGCCGCTGAGGTCCTCTGTCCTTAAAGAGTTGACTCTGGCTTAAGCTACCTGGAGGTGCCTTTCAAGACCTTCTCTCCAGCATCAAGAGCCTGAATCCAGAAGAATTGGAGCTCTTGGGGACAGCCGTTCAACAGGGCAAGTAGCACGGCAGATCAGATGTGTTCTAAGTTTCTGGCCTTCACACTGCCTTGCTCTGGGGAAAACTGGACTTTCCTAACAAGTATGTGTGGGATGAATGACCACTGGCGAAGTTCAGCCTAAAGAATAAAGCTGTATTGTGATGTTTGGTTCACAGGAAGAAGATGGTGGCAAGTCTTGGGGAGGGACTAAAGCAAGGAGAAACTACTGATGGGTAGATGTTCAGGAGAGAGACACCACCCCCTGGCCATCCTTCTTAGGCTTGCAGAGAAGATAGTCCCTTCATGTGGTAAGGCTCTATCCCGGGGTACTTCAGACCAAGAAAGTCCCTCGGCATTGACAGGAACAGATTCAAGTTTCAGAGTCCTACCCCAGTGCTGTAGAACAGAATTCCGAGGCTCTTGTACAACCCTGGATGGGGGCTCCAGATGGGGGCTCTGGGGAGAAAAGAATCCCCATCTGCCTGTTGAGTTAGAGTTGGGGGCAGATTCAATTTTATTTAAATAAGAATCACATTTCTGCTTACACCTTTAATCCCAGCCCTCTGGGAAGCAGAGGCAGGTAGATCTCTGTGAGTTAAGGCCAGGACAGCCAAGGCTACACAAAGAAACCCTGTATCAAAACAAACAAAAAAAACTAGGCATGGTGGTGCATGCCTTTATTCTCAGCACGGGAGGCAGAGGCAGATGGATCTCTGTGAGTTCGAGGCCAGCCTGGTCTACAAATCAAGTCCAGGACGCCCAAGGCAACACAGAGAAACCCCGTCTCCAAAAAAAAAAAAAAAAAAAAAAAAAATCACATTTCTTACAGGTTTTATGTGATTCAAACTCATTTAAAATGGAGGTGATTTCATTTAAAATGCTGGTGATTTCAAGCAAGACAAAGGCAGGGTAGATTTAGGATGTGTTGGACATGGATGCTCTGTCTCCAGGCTACTAACAGTTATCATTTCAACAAGAGGGAGGTTACCATTGTCGTCGTTCTAGGTTGAACCTGCTCTTGCTGGTCCAGCTCCTTCAGAGGAGCAAGTGTGCATGGAAGCAGACACTGCGGCAAGGCCATGGGGAGTTACCTTTCACTGTAAGATTAGCCTCTAGATACCCAACAAACTGGGTGGTACCAGCAGCAGTGCTTGGTTGGCAGTCAACAAGGTCCCCTTTCCTTGTCTTGCCTTTCTGGACTGAGCCGCTGCTCAGGGACCACTCAAGAGCATTGGGAGTGTTTGCTCCAGAAAACCCAAGCCAGACAGCAGGCTTGAGACTATGTCTCAACATTGTGGAAGTGGATGCTGTGTGTTGTAGAACTATGGCCAGATGTTAACATATCAATATCTGTTGTCTTGCATCTTCTTACCTCTGTTTTTGGCTGTGCCTGGTAATTTACTCATGTGATTTCAGCATTTGGGAGGTAGAGGCAGGAAACAGAATCAAGAGTCGAGATCCCCATGGGCAACATAGTACATTTGAAAGCACTACCTGCCTACGTAGTATTACCTGCATTCAAAGTGGTAGAGTGCAGGGCGTTGGAGGCAGGTGCCCTTAATCCAAGCACTCAGGAGGCAGAGGCAGGCAAATCTCTGTGAATTCAAGGCCAGCCTGGTCTCCAGAGGGAGTTCCAGGACAGCTAGGACTACACGGAGAAAAACCACACACACACACACACACACACAAAAAAAAAAAGAGGTAGCTGGCAGGCAGGCTGGCTCAGTGGGCTAAGGTTCTTGCTGTACAAATCTGACAACCTGAGATCAATCTCTGGAACCCAAGTTAAGGTGAAAGGAGAGAACCAATACTACAATGTTATCCTATGATGTCTACACATACTCCATGGCACCTGCCACACCTCTCCTGCCACACCTACCCCCATTAAGAAAAAAAAAAAATACACAGAGCTAGTTTATCCCCTGAACATCTTCTGATACATACCCCTGGCCTCATAACTTTCTTTGGCCAATACCATGCAAAAGTGAAGTGGCAGTGTGCCAGTTTAGAAGTCAGTCATCAAGTGGTCTTGAGGTCCTGTTTGCTTTCTTGGAAGTTTGCCTGGTCTCATGTGAACATGATGGGGGTGCCCTACTGAAATGACAACATGAGAAGGAGCTCCAGCTGTCCCTGAGAGTCTATCCTAGATCCTCCTACAACCAATAGATTGCAGCAGTGGGGACAGACAGAGCAAGAACCTTGCTTTTTTTGTAAATTCATGACTAACAATAAAGACATTCTGTTTAAGGGATGGAGGGTTGAGATATTTGTTCAAAAGTAAAAGCTAAAAGATATACCTTCCAGTCAGGGCCTTCACATTTGTCTTACAGTTTTATTGTTGGGAGAGACACCAGGACCATGGCAACTCTTATAAGGAAAACATTCATTGGGGCTGTCTTAAAGTTTCAGAGGTTTAGTCCAGTATTGTCATAGTGGGAAGCATGGTGGTGTGTAGGCAGACATGGTGCTGGAGAAGGAGCTGAGACTTGTACATCTGGATCCACAGGCAGCAAGACTGTGCCACACTGGGCAACCCTAACCGTCCCCCACAGTGACACACTTCCTCCAACAAGACTGCACTTCCTCATAGTGCCACTCCCTGTGGGCCAAGCATTCAAACACATATAGAAGTCTTCTATATGTAGGCAGACTCTTCTTAGCTGGGCAGAGGTAGTTAGGTCACTCAGCAGCTGGTGTGAGGCATAGGAAACCATATTTAGCTGGTTCCCATGTGTGAACCTATGCAAGCACTGATATGCCAGTTTTGCTCTTCAAGTTGATGTTTTGTTTTATTTTAGTTTTTTCAAGACAGGCTTTCTCTGTGTAGCCTTGGTTGTCCTGGACTCACTTTGTAGACCAGGCTGGCCTGGAACTCACTGAGATATACCTGCGTCTGCCTCCCTGAGTGCTGGGATTACAGGCATGCGCCACTGTGCCCGGCTCTGCTTTGATGTTTAAAACCAGAAAGAGGGGAGAAACATTGAAAACAAAACAAAACAAACAAACAAAAACAAACAAACAAAAAAACGGATGTAATCCTGTAATCCCAGTTCTCAGGGAAGCATAGACAAGCAGATCGATGTGAATTCAGGGCCACCCTGGTCTACAAAGCAAGTCCAGGACAGCCAAGGCTCCAAAGAGAAACCCTGTCTCAAAACAAAAACACAGGGGGCTGGAGAGATGGCTCAGTGGTTAAGAGCACTGTCTGCTGTTTCAGATGGTCCTGAGTTTAATTCCCAGCAACCACATGATGGCTCACAACCATCTATAATGTGATCTGAAGTCTTCTGTTACACAGGTGTGTACCCATGTGTATAAACAAATCTTTAGAAAAATGAAAACAGACACTTTAACATTTTCCCCCTGTGCCTTAATATAGGATCTCTGCAAAAACAGGTGTTTGTGCCTAATCTGGGTCCAAAGGGAACCCCTGTTGTGCTGGGGTTTCCTTTAGGGTGCACCTGGGACTGGCCAGCCAGCTGTCTCAGATTTGATAAAGCAGCCCTGCTGGCCTCTTCAAGTCCCCTTTATAGAATTGAGAAGGTCTTCACAGAGGTTAGAGAGTCAGCTGTTACACATTGTTAGATACAATGAGGGCTGGAGAGATGGTTCAGTGGTTAAGAGTACTGGCTGTTCTTCCAGAGGACCCAGGTTCAATTTTCAGTAGTCACATGGCAGATCACAGCAATTCCAGCTCCAGGGTATCCAAAACCCTCACACATGCCAGATACATGCCAGAAAAACACAAATTCATTTAAAATGAAGACACCATTAAAAGAAAGAACAAGAGTAAGGATATACAACAGGTGAATGTGGTCACAAGCAGTTTACATAAGATCTAAGAAATAGGAACTTATTTTTTAAAATATTATTATTTATACAGTATTCTGCTTGCATGTGTGCCCACAGGCCAGAAGAGGTCATCAGATCTGGTTATAGATGGTTATGAGCCACCACAGGCTTGCTAGGAATTGAACTCAGGACCTTTGGAAAAGCAGCCAGAGCTCTTAACCTCTGAGCCATCTTTCCAGCCCAGGAACTTATGCTTAAATAAAAACCTTTGGGGGGGGGCGATAAAAAAAAAACCACCTTAATTTGCAAGGACACAGGACAAAGAGAGGAACCTTAATCTGCACAGGACAAGCAGGAACTTCTTAATTACAAATAGAAGCTTTAACTTGCAAGGACTCTATTTTGTATACCAGATCTAATTATAGATGGTTATAAACTATCATGTGATTGCTGGGAATTGAACTCAGGATCTTTGGAAGAACAGCCAATGCTCTTAACCTTTAAGTCATCTCTCTAGCCCTATTTTTGGTTTTTCAAGACAGGGTTTCTTCTGTGTAGCCTTGGCTGTCCTGGAACTAGCTCTATAGACCAGGTTGACTTCAAACTCACAGAGATGGCCTGCATCTGCCTCCTGAGTGCTGGCATTAAAGATGTGGGCTACCACTGCCCAGCAAGGCACTTATTAACTGTCTAACTACAAACAGAATCCTTAATCTGTAAGGTATATTATTCCTGTTTTGGTCTCACATGCCTATATTTCTCGTAAACTTGTAAGTTTTTATTCCAATTACAACATTTGGACAACAAGATCAAAACACCCAAACACACACTTTACACTGGAGTCAGGTTGTATCGAGCACTTTATCAGATATTCCCTTATAATTCCATGTCAGAGATTGTAATAACACAAACATTAATGCTCCAGTTTTGACCTGCTTTGTCATATGTGAATCAACCTTCCAGGATTGATTACCTGACAGA